CATTACAATAATTTATTGCTTTTAACATATTGGCCACAAATTGTAAAAAAAAAAAAGCAGACTTTAGACTGTCTTAAATTGGGTTTCCATTAGAGACGACGTGGTTCATAAAGATGGTTAATATTCTAATCAGAGAAGCAAAACTGCAACTATTTGAGCTTTTAAAACCGAATAATGGAACCAAAGTTCAGACTGTTTTAAGGAATCTCCATTAAATTTAGGATTATCCAGCAATTGGACAAGTTCAAGTGATATAGATACGAATTAGAGCTGATCTAAGTATGTTCACATGAACTATAGGAACATGTTCATATAGTTCCTTTGAACCTGTAAGGGAACATGAGGCTCATATTGATTCACATGACTGATGTATAATCACCTGTTGTGAAATCTGCACAATAAACTAAGAAGTGAGTCTGGTAAGGTTTAATGTACTCCATCTTGGAGTATAAATTATGAAGTGTTAATAAACTGATATTTCGTCACCCATTTATGCATAGGTTTTCTTTTTTTTTAAATTGTCAAAGTAATGAAGTGGTGGTTTTACAGCTTAAACAGTTTAATAAACCCCAATATGAGCCTTTATTATTGCTGGCCTCTTAAATGTTGAGGATTTCCACCATCTTGATCTAATCCTTGTGATTATTCCAGTGTCGAGAAACAAGAATGTCTTGATGCGGGAAGTCTCCGCTCTGCCTGTGGAAATACCTCCGGCTCATCATTTATTCCCACATGTCAGCGTAATAGTCCGATAAAATTCTTTGACTGCTCCACCTGTCAGCCATCTTCAGACAGAGCGAAACCCATTAAAACTAATATCATGAATGTGTCTGTGTTGCTGCCAGAGGGGGATTTTTTTTCTTTCTGGCGCTTTCTCTTTGTCTGAGATAAATCAGTTTGGCGTTTGGGAAACCAATCTGTCAGCTTTGGGGTTCTTTGCCTGCAGGGCTGGAGGAGATCACTGATGTGAAACTCAGCCAAGTGAATCCCGAAGAAAAGAGCGGCATTAGATTTAACTAAAGCAAAGCTGTAAATGGGATAGTTGGATCACTTTAAGTGAAGCTCATTAGCTTTAGATGATTTCCTTGAACACAGAGTCTTGGCTGATGAAACATGTCCCGTATTCAGACTCAAATCACACTGATCAGTCAGTCCATTATGATAATGATAACCCATTCCAGCATCACTTTACAAGGCTTATTCTGCTTCTGACTTCTTATCAAATGCATGTTGTAAATAAAGTATTTTTACTTTGAAATGACTCGAGTAAATACGAAATGCAGCTTTCAAATTCATTCCTTCATCAGGTTAAATATAGGTATCCAAACCAACTTTTCCCAGTGTGAAAGTAATAACTCCTCAGCCTAGTAACTGGAGGCACTGATGATATTGAGTTTTTGCTAAATCTATCACCGTGAAGGAAGTTGGGTTCAGGTCAGGTGAGGAATGGGGTTGACGTTGTCCTGCATAAGAATCATTGTCTTTTTGAAAGATGTTGACTTTGTCCCATTCCACTGCTTGAAGAAAGTGTTTCTAAAACCTGGTATTTATGTCTGGGAGTTGATTTTGAGCCCATCTTCAACCTGAAAGTCTCCTACTAACTCGTCTTTAATAATACGAGCCTATAGCAATAGCCCACCTCCACCTTGCAGGTGTCTGACTCAAAGTAGAGCTCTGTGCAAGTTTCTGATCCACCCAAAGGCCGTCCATCTAGTCAGTCAGTCAATCAATCAATCAATCAATCAAATTTTATTTGTATAGCACATTTCAGCAGCAAGGCATTTCAAAGTGCTTCACATAATTAAAATAAAATAAAAATAAAAACAGCATGTGACATTGAGAAAGAGACATTTTGGGAAAAAAAAGGATAAAAACATTAGACAGTGAGACAGAGAAATAAAAATAAGTTAATAACTAGATGAAAAGTAAAGATAAAAACATTAAAAACATCAAGTCTAGTCTGTTAAGAGTCGCTCTCACCCATAAAACCTCTGAAAAATCAGGCAGATATTTCTTGGCCCAGTCTAGACCGTTCAGTTCAGAGGTGTTGGGAGTTCAGCCTTCCCTACCTTGGCCATGTCTCTGAGCTCCGAACATTTTCTAGTTACTCCACTTAAATTAAAATTATGGAATTTTTTTTCACAGAGGTGAAAGATTATGGTTTTCTGGTAGTCATCGCCTTCTTAAGTCTTGATTCTTCTCGAGTCCTTGGCAGATATTTTGGGTTTTTCTTTCTCAACACATTTCTTGGGACCCTCGTTGACTACTTGCACCAAAATGTTTGATGGTTCTGCGATCACATCCCAATCAGACCCCATTCTTAGCAATTTCAAGAGTCCTTCATCCCTTTGAGAAACTTTTAGCCCATTTTGTCAAAGAAAAGAAAGTGCCTTGTAATTATGCACACCTTGATGTAGGTTGTTGGCCTCCTTAGGCCCCAACCTCCATCACTAAACAGATGCACATCACCTGCTATGCTAAAATCCACCAAGCATTTAACCTCATTCAACTTGAAGTTAGAAAATTTGCCTAATAATTATCAAAACTCTCCCTTGCGTCAACCCCTTATCTGTCATGATGACACAGGTGTCTTCACGGACCCATTGACTTTAGGGTGACGGTTGAGGGGTTAATAATTGTGCACATGGTGTAAGTTTGGCACCTCATTCAGAGGGAGTCCAATGTAAAATGGACTGGCTGTAAAACAGCTGGCTGTGGCTCTTAAAGCTCAGAGTAATGCTATTTTTTCCCTTCAGTCTTTATTGGAGTGTAATGTTATAGAGCACAGTCGGGTGGTTATGTTTATTGCAGAATTGCTCTTGGAACCATGTGTGGCTCTTTGCAAAGTTTGCATAACAGAACACTGTAGACCTGCTGTAAAGCTACTGCTGTTTTTATGTTGTTAGTGGAGGAATCCTTTTCTGGTACCAACAGAATCTAGTATCTTTTAAGACATCCAGGAAATATTTGTAGCCTTCGTGAAGTTCGTTCTCCTGTTGTGTCCAAGTTTCAACCATGCAGTTGTTTATTATTCAGACTAAACAAACTAGGGGTAGTAACCCTTCTTGATTGGCAGCGGAACATGACCTGTTCATGATTCTGCCACCACCGTGTTTTGCAGCTTGTGCAATATTCAGTTACAAATGTAACTGCTTCTGTTTAGGCGTATCGCTCCAAACAGATACTGTTTTATAACTGAAGATATTTTTACACAGTTCTAACAGGCTGATTCAGCTTGGGGAGGTTTTGTTGTTAAATTATTAGAACTTGAAAGTTTTAAAATAACGTAAACTAGGTCATCATGAATTAGAGACCGAGTTGCTTCAAGACCCGTTGCTCCCTCTGCTGTTTATGCAGAAATGAGTTCTCCTAATTCTTGCATTGCAAATATTTCACCTCTTTGCTAACGTGAGGCCCCTGGACAGAAACACGTGCAGCTCTTCCACATGTCATCCCAACCGCCCCGGAGGAGTAACACTGTCGTGGCAGAACCCAGAGTATGTTTCTTCAGATAAGACCGTCAGGTGGTGTTTAATGTTCATAAACGCCGTAGAGCAGAACAGCCAAAAGGGGTCGGCTCTGGGAGGGCCGCTGACTTGTTGTGACTCCTGGCTGGCTTGCTACGCTCTCACAGGGGTGTTCACCAATGACCGCGCTGCAGAAGTATGCAGTCACTGCAGTTCAGTTGTGCAACTAAGTCTTTATGACCGCTGATATTCCTGAATTATGCACGGACGCTTAAACACCACTGATATAGAATGTGACACGCTGGTTTCCACGTAATGACATATTCAACTGGGTCAAATATAGGAGTTGAGACATTTTGGGCCCAATGCCAGCATGCCTGATGGTGCTACAGAACGTTCTTTAAAGGAGCAGTGTTACATAAAATCAACTCTTTTTTTCAGTTTTGCATCATGTCATAATGTTATTCACTTTGCTTATACTTTCAAGCATGTTTGAGAAATCCTTTAATCTCCATGGCAACCGTTCAGCTGTGCAAAATGCCTGGGTGGACCTAGCCCCGCCTTTGAGGATGAAGTTCTTCCTCTGAGCTGCAGATTCCAATATTCAGAGCTTCCACCTTACAGAGAAGACATCATCCATGACGCCCCCACTCAGTTCCTTCAGACTAGCCAGCAGCAATTAGCAAACACCTGTTGGATCTGTGTATCTGCTGGGCCCAATATATGAGCTGCTTCTCAGTTCAACACTGATAAAAACATTGCTAAAGGGTTAATAGAGATGATGACTTCCTGAAGGCTGAGTTTCAGAAGGAGCAGAAGTTTTTAAAGAGACAGAAGCCCAATTTCATGGTGATAAATTTCCTTAGTTATTTGACATAGCATTTTTCTAAGAACTGAAGGCGACATACTTGCGTGATCATGCTATAAACTGGCACTGTGTGTCTGGAAAACACATAATACTTCCCCTTTGACCTGCAGCTATTGTCTCCGTCAGTCTGTCACAGCATCCTTGTGTTTCAGAGACGAGCTCCTCATTTCACCTTTTGTTCAGATGGACCATAATAAGCATGACGTATGACCACCGTATGCACGTTCTCACTGCATTTCTTCCTCCACAGGCGCACACTGGCATCATGGTTTGGCTCTGCATTGCCCACTCCCGCGGCTGCATTTCCCGGAACAAGCTGCAACCCGAGCCTTGAGGCTCCCACCATGGAATGCTTGTAGTATCCAGGATCACCTCCGTCTGCTTCATCAGGAATTAGAAGCACAGTCAGAGGGAAACGACACAAGAGGCGGGCTTCTAAATCCGGGCCTCTGCGCTGAGCTCCTGGAGGCCTTTTATCTATTTAGGTCAGCCGGGTGGAGAGGGTCCAGTTGAGCGAGTGCCAGTTGGTGTGCGGTAGTCTCCCCCGTTTTAGAGTAGGTGCCTGCCCGGAGGCAGGGGGGTGGGGGGGCACTGAGGCCATGAGGCCCAAGACGTTCCCAGCTGCCCCGTATGTGGGCAACACGCGGCAGAGGCTCCAGGAGATCAAGGAGGGCCTGAAGCAGCCGGCCAAGCTGGTGAGCCAGGCGCTGCACGGCGGCAGCTCCCGGTCCGAGGGGAGCAGGCCGGCCGACTCCAAGAGCGGGAAGGACACGGCCAACCGGCAGCAGCAGCTCCGGCCGCCGCAGAAGTTCAACAACTACCAGAGCGCCCTGCGAGAAATCCGCAGGTCCCTCATGCCGTTCGCCAACGAGTCCGGAGAGGTGAACAGGCAGATGCTGCAGGAGCTCGTCAACGCTGGCTGCGACCAGGTAAGCCCGACCAAATCACTTCGTTTGTCATTTATCGTGATAAATATCTTGACTTGATAAGAATTTTCATTTATCTTTGTCATAAGAAGTTCCAATTAATGTTTGAACCCCCCAACCTGTCGGATTGTTGGTTAGTTTTGGTGCTTTCTCCACTCTTTCAGGGTTTCCCCCAGGGTATTATAAGCCTGGCGGGCCTCCAGGCTTTCCTTGTGCCCCCACCAGGCTAAGCATTACTTATTTATTTAAATCTTTTTAAAATGTTTGCATTTTTTAAGATTTTGTAGGTGGTGTTCTGGCATTCATCTTTTAATAACACATGATTATCAAGTGATATTTTCAAATTTCCTGTCAGCTTTAAACTTGTTTTAACTCAAAAACACGACAAGCTGCTGGATGAATGACTGCAACACCCAAACACCGGGCTTAGCCAGTTTTCTGGGGGAAACCTTGCTCTTTGTTCAATGAGAGTATCGATAGATATCAATAAATTTGAAAATACGATTAAATGTAGTTACTATGTACTGCTTTCCACACTTCTTTACGCGACTGCTGCTGTCCTAAAGAATCTAATTACAAATAGGTGTGTTTTTCAAGAGCATAATTTGTGCCGTGATCGCTGTGTCAGGCAATCAGAGCTGTACAATTACCTAGAAAAATGGTAAAAAAATATAATTCTTATTATCATGTTTATTATCTCAATAGTGCCACAAAATACTGTAATAAAATTTAAGTCCATATCACCCTCCTCTGATCCAACACCTACATATTTAACCAAAAAGGATTTTGTTTTACTTGGCTTGTTATTGATTTGACACGATTACATTCTTGGGAGATTCCTGTTCGACTTCATGTTTTACAAAAACACTTTTGTTATGAAGATGAATGGAAAATATCCATCTGTGTTAAAGGGTCATTTGAATTAGACAGGCACCAGAGCTGCTAACCAGACTCGGACTACTCGACATCGACCAGTGGAACAATCCAATCTTTTCCCAGTAGCAGAATCTCAGTGGTTGTTTGTACTGGAAAAGTCTCAAAATCAGCTATTCTCGGTTTACAACAAGGTCAGAGAAACCTGGAGAGAAGTCGAGGGAAACCACGTCTTCTGACACGTAGTTCATTAAGTTAACAAGAACAAGGATGATGGATCACAGCAAAGTTAAACACATAGGCTGCTGTTTCATCACTAGCCAAACCAATCTAATTAAAATGTTAAAGCCAGCTTAAGACGTGAGCTTTGTGATTATTTATGTGGAAATATTTTACAGTGACTGAAGTCTAACCTTTGTAGCATGACGTAGCCTCTGCACCTAATGAACAACCAATGACCACTGAAGGCTACAAAACGTGTGTTTTAATGCCGTTTTATGTTTTGTTGCATGAACAGTAAATGTAATTTGCCATAATCAGAGGATCGTCTGAAATCTGTTTTCCTAAATTATAATTTTTCCAGATTTTTTTTTCTAAATGCTACTTTTTCCATTCGATTTCTTTTAACTCAAAAAGTGTGTAAATATGAACTAATGGGAAAAACACTTCTACAAATCTATAGATATTTACTGTCATTCATCTCTTACATATAAGACGAAGCTAGCTATTTCAAATTATCTCTTTTTAAAGAACAAAAGAGTCTGCGAAACAAAGAGCGTCACATTTCACATTTAAAAAAAGTTTTCTTGCGGAAATGTTCTAGAGTTTAACACCAGTATGTCACACAGAGAAACCAGCAAACCGTAAAACCTTGTGCACACCTGCATGATGAACATCATTCTGATTTACTTCTTTGCCTCATGTAAACGGTCGTCACAGGTCATGTGCTGCTGACAAAACGTACAGAAAAGATGAATCCAGGAGCCGGGATTCACCAGTTTTAGGTCAAACCTCTACTTCCTCCTGAGCCCAAAGCTGGTGATTGCCACAAAATTATGATTATTGTCTCTAGTCAGTTTTTATTACTTTGTCCTTTGTTCTAGTAAACTTCTTAATGACTGTAGATTTGCCCAAGTTTAGGCGAGTAGCTACTTCCTTGCAGCCATCCATTATTTAATCGGTATCTTCTCTTCTTTGTCCCGTTTTGAAATGAGAAGCATCTCCTTTGGGGAACTGAAAAGTCCCAGGGTTCTTTCTGCGACCTGGTTTAGAGCTAATAGATGAGATCTACAGACATTAGACTGGTACCTTGATTTTTATCATTTCCATCAGAGGTTTGTTAAGCTCAGTTAGCAGCTACCTAAATGACGTTAGCTCCTGAATTATGGAGTTGGGGTGAAGTAAAACCCCACAGATGGGGTTAAATTACCCAGAGGTCAACAAGTTACCTGGAGCCTCTGTCTCGGTGGGGACGCGGGTATCTTGCAGTTTGTTGTGAATCAGTCAGTAAAATCCAGAGCTGAAACTAGTGGGCCAATAAACAAATTTAAATTCTGCCTCAAGTAAAAACCTGTGGAGTGACTGCCAGCTTTTAAACACAACTCCCAAATCTAAAGCTGTGTTTAATCATTCAGATTTTTAGAGTTGTTTTTTTTTTCCAGCCAGGCATTCTCCAAAACGAAACACTTGAGCGCCCTGTGCTCTTAGACACGACACAATACAAGTCCCCCCTGCCAAGCGCATAGCGATTCGGTTACGTAACACGTGTTGAAATATTGAAACATCAGGTGGATTTCTCAACGGGGCTGTTTGGCGTTCACCCCCACCGCTATGCGTCCGACCTGAAGAAGTGAGGCATGCCGGTAAACTTGAGCTCTGTTTTACACCACGGAGTTGAGTGGAAGCTGTTTAAATTTCTAAAAGTTTAAGACAGGAACCTGGATACTTTTGAAGATTTTACCCTTACTCGGGCTGCATAAGCACTGTTGAATGAGGAAGTTTGTGTTGTTTCTTGTTTCTGCATGCCTGCATATGCATTGGGGGAAACTCTCAAAAGTATTAATTTTTCAGCATTTTCTGCTTTGGGAGGTGAAGAAATTGAAGTAAGTCAGGCATTTTTAAAGGGTGACTAAGATGTGTGATTAAATCAGACTGTCCCAGCAAACTGCTGTAAGTCCAGTCAAGATCTAGGGCATCTGCGGTTAAAAGCCGTTGTGATCGAGCGTGGTATGTGAAAAATGCCCCCACTCAAGCCCGTCGCAGCAAACAAAGAAGAAGAAGAAGAAAAAGAGGAGCAGGCAAATTGTTCACAGCTTGTCACAGAAACCTGCTGTTGGTCCAGTGTTTGCTGATTGAGGGACTTTTCCTCTGCGTCTTTATTTCCACATCTGGACTAGGTGCTTTTCATTAAAAAAATGTTGTTTTGTTGTTTTTGTTTTTCTTGGGTTTTAGAATATCAAGAGGCCCACAGCTGTTTAAAAGAATCTGATGTTTTTCTTGTTTTTGATTAGCAACAAATCTGAGCTGGTAGTAAAATGACCAGGATCCCAGAGGGATGGCAGGTGATTTCATTTTTTGTCCACCTGAAATTTGCATAAATTCCTCAGTAGTTATCATGTACTGTTTCTGAATCAAAACCTGGAGCAGGATTTTGTTTCAAACTTTGGCAGAAAAGAAGACATTCTCCTTTTTGAGGTTGTGTCATGACATATTTTTGCTCTGGAAATGTGGATGGATGCAACTGGTAAAATAACAATTGAACGCATCACAATTTTTCATAGTTGGCATATGTAGAAAGGGTAAGTCGCACTTTTGAATCTTCGTGTTTAGCGCATGCGAGCTCAGGCAGCGGTATGGCGTTTATAGAGTATGTTTCTGAACAAATGAGCTCTCATAGAGGCGTTGAATATAGATACCAGTGCAGGGCGTCTACCAAATCGTCCAGTTTGTGTGAACGGTGATGCAAGGTGCACGACCAGGTGATGCTGCAGCATGCGAGGCCAACGCTCGGGGATGGGGTCGGCCCTGTTGGCGCGCGCCACGCTGCGTCCAGCTCAACGTGTCTGCTATAGACCTAGCTTAAACCCAGCTTAACGGTGCTGTTGAGATGAAGTCTGGTAACACCTGACATGTAATCCCTGCATAGAACGAAACCAAAACAAATAAGTTCAGATATTAACTTGAGTGTAATAATGTAAAACAGCAGGAGGTAGAAAAAGTTACGGAAAGCCAAGACACCAGCTGAAATCCACCAGCGATCAGAAATGTTATCTTTAACATTTATTTTGCAAAAATGTACAACAAAGATCCACTGACTTCACTATTTGTTTCAAAACGCCTGTTGAGGACAAAATGCCGAGTTTCAGCCAGCTTACCTGCAGTGTGTATCAGGATAGTCCTAAGTTACTACCCAGGAAAACTTTCGCATCTCATTTAAAAATTTTAATTTCAACCAAACCAACGCTGCGTTTCGATTGGTTTAGCTGTTGTGAAACAGTAACTCTACAAACCTTTGCTACATGTGGATACAGGGCCTGGCTGGTTCTGCTATTTATCTGTGCTGGTAACCTGTTTTTTTGTTTTTACAAAAACTCACTGCTGTTACATTTTGTCCCTGAACTCGGCCTTTTTAAAGGAACCACACGCTCATCTGTCGTATCACCTACGCCACATTATTGCTTATCCAGCATTTCAGTCGGTCATCCGCACAAAGAGCGCGTCGGTTCCATTTCCTCTGCCGCTCGCACTCGCTAGCTGACCTCCATTACCGCCACAATTGTGAATGGAGCAGAGCAGGCCCGGCCCAGTCAGTCCAAACAGGAAGGGAATATTCAATGGCAGCAGGGTGGAACAGTTCCTCCTGCTCCGGTCCAGTCACCGCCCAACGTGTCGCCTCTCCTCCTCTTCCTCTGTCTGTCAGACGCCACCGCAGGGTGTTTGGCTCTGTTTTTTCCTGTGGACCGGTGTCTCTTAGATTGTTTTGTTGATGTTTCTTTTTTAAGATGGCTCAACAAAAGGAATATGAAAGAAACAAACTCAACGCTCTAAAATGGCAGGAAACAATGGTGTGAGGCTACCACAGCACCCACTGAAAGAGTTGAAGTGTAGATTTTAATCTAATTGATTTCATTTAAAGCAAGCCAGTAGTAAATATTGGAGTTCTTTAAAATTAAATGGATTTTTTTCTGTGGAACAACTCCAACAACTTATTCACAAAAAGTTTGTGGATGTTTTTGTAGAGTTTTTTTTTTTTTTTTTTTTTTTTTAGATATTTACTGTCATTTGTTTTTTGTTTTGTTTGAAAAACAAATTTTAATAAAAAAAATTCGAACCTTTGTTTTTCAAGTATTGGTGGATTTCAGGTATTGACAGGCGGCCGTGTTGCCAACAGAACCAGGGGTCCATCTTCCTCTTTCTTATGATGTCTGACTTGAAAATGTGGAATAAGAACCTGCTGTTCAAGTTCTTACTGTGCAGTAATATTATGTATAATAATATAATTGGTGGCTGTTCCTTTTGCATTTTATGTGACCAGAAACATTTCCAAACAGAAAACTGTGTTTTTCTTGGCAGCGGATTAAGGCTGTGCTTTATAACACGCAAATAAATGTCAAATACAGTCGGATGAAACGGTCCGTTACTTTTCTACTTTGGATGATGTGTGAGAGTAATCCTCGCACCGCCTCGGCCACTTCTTCTTCGTCAGATGGCCCTATCAGCGCTTCTCGTCTTTCCTGCCTTCTCCCAGCTGCAGATTACATACCAATGTGGCACGTTGCATAATCTTTTTTTTTAAAGGAGGAAATGTCTTTGAGAGGGAGTGGGAGGTGGGGGTGGCATGCCAGGCATCAAAATGACAAGAAAATCCAGGAAGTGAAACGAAGGGAAGCTTTTGATGACTTTTGTACATTTTCTTCCCTGACCTTTCCGGACCTCCAGGATGAACTTCGGGCCCCGGCAGGAATCTGGCTCGTCACCAAGCACATTAAGGCGTTCGACGTGTGATTCAACACTGTTTTTCTTTTTTTTAACGTATGTTTGCACAGAGGATGATGCATCCCTGGACTCACCCTGTCATAACATTTAATTCCTTAAATATCTCTTTGCACATGTTTCAATAATGAGGAAGAGAGGGTAGACCGCACCATCTGGACTCCTGATTGCCATTCACGTGGCTTTGATTTCTGGGGTCAAGTCTGATCTGGGTCAGCAACGAGGCTTAAAAATCAAGGATACTCTGGGAAATGTTTTCCAGAGGGGAAAACTCTTGGGATTGTCTGCCACTGCAGCTTGGGCATCTTTTGGTAGAAATTGCAGGCCAGTGATTATGCGTTTGGGATAAGTCGGCGGTTCGCGGCGCTCGGACTGTTATGACAAGGGTGCAAAATGCGGCCTGGTTATTTTCAAAACGAGAACGACGGAGAGAAAGGGAGAGAGAGAGACTCTGTCCAGATCGGAAATAGCTCAAATTCCTGCTTCCTGTGCCGAGGAATTTGAGCGAGACACATCTGTCGCCATGACGACCAGGGTCAGCAGACCCGCCCACATCCAGAGGGGGCGGAGGAAGGACAGAAAGAGGGTCTGTCATGGTGGTTCTGCTAAACCCGGACCTGATTAAAGTCAGATTACAGATTATGGAATATATGAAGGTTTGAATATTTTAGATTAGATGGAAAGACTGAAGATGACAGCAGCAGAAAAACATGTTTTGGTTTTTGTTGGGATCGAGTCCATCTATGCGCCGTCTGTGTTCAGGATGGTGCTTCACTGATGCCCCCTGTTGACACGAATAAAAGGATTTCACAGGAAACTAGTGTTGCACTAGGAGAACACAATCACATTGATAAGTTTAATATTTTGATTACATTTAAACAGGAATCTAGAAAACGTTCTTGAAAGTCGGAGCCTCGTTTCTGAAAGCAACTTTCTGTGTCTTTGTGAATTGAGTTTGTAAATCATTACTGTGTGCTTATTGGCTTTACCATTTTATTTTTATGCTTTCTTTTGTCTCACGTTGTTGTTCAGCACTTTGTTTCAACTGTGGCTGATGTATAAAAGAAAACTTAATGATGATAATTATAAAATTGCAAATGTAGAATTTAATCAGGGACCAGTTGGTCATGTCTCAGGAAAAAATACACAAACAAAAACAGTTGGTGAACCATCTTTTATCGTTTTTCTTCTTTTTACAGTCTAATGTTCCAAACTCGGCTCCGGTGATGTTCTGTGGGCTTCATCTGTGCACAGCAATAACAACATATATCACCACACACACAGGATCTCAGTATCAATTGATAAGACGTAGAATAGAATAATTTCCCTGAACTCTGATCCAGAACCGCTCAGCATTCTGGGAGATGTAGGCAGAGGAAAGGTTTTAGCTGTTCAACTTCTCACAGCTAGATCAAAAAGGTTGGTTACCTAGCAACAACTTGTTGAATTAATTTTTTAAAGACAGAAATGAGGGTTTAATGAAAAGTGCTTAATCCCTGCTTTAATGTCATCAGACTACATATTCTGTTTTATTGAAATGTTATTATCCTTTCATTAAGGAGACACTTCTAGCATATTTCTTTGAAACAACACTTTGAAGTACTTTTTTAATAGCAGATTTACTTTTTTATATTTTCCCCAGTTTACTGAAACCATTGCTGCTTTTGCCTCCCGTCTCCTGTCGTCTTTTGTGTTTCTCCCTCTTCAATCTCAATCTCATTTTTCAAAACCTCTAAAAACTCCCACAGTCTCTCCGTCGGTCGGTCTGGTGTAACCTTTGAAACGTATCGCCAGAAAGCGCAGAGCAAACGTGGCTTTAAAAAGAAAAAAAAAAAGAAAAAGTAGAGAAAGAAAGGACAAAATGTGACAGCAACAGGGCGGCTCTGGCAGCCGACGCTCTCCTCAGGCCGCGCAGGAATGCAGCAAACACACACACACCCACACACACACACACAGGAAGCGGCGTGTAAACACTGATGTGTGAGCATGGTGAGCACTGAAATTTAAAGGTGCATGCCAGCGTGGGAGAGGACGGTGTAGCAGGGTCCAGTAAACTCACACAATGTGGCACACACAGTTTACAGAGAGTACAGAAGGAGCACGACCTTGACGTTTCCTGGCTCTCTGAGCTCAGTGTGCCTACGACTGAGCCGCGCTTTTAAACAATTTAGATTGGATTTAGTTTCCTGCTGGCAACTGCAAGCTGCCAGCCTGACTGAGAAGAAGCAGAAAGTTGAGTCGGAAAAGCATTCCTGGGGGAAGACGTGTCTCCAGGCATCATTCCCTTCGTTGTACAGAACAAAGAAAACGGATTCTCTTTTCTTCCTAGGTATCCTTCTAGTCACTTTGTTTCAATTTCACAGTAAAAATATATATTTAGGCATATTTCTAAGTATATATTCCCTGTGGATCAGCTGCTGCTGTTCCTGCCTGTGGCCAGCAGGGGCACCTGAGCGACTTTGTCGCAGCAGCCAGGCATTGAAATGTGCCTGAAGTGAGATCATATGCCATTTGAGGGGATTTCCTCACCTGGGTGTGGCCCCACATTTCTTGCTGCCTAGCACTCTGCCTCTCTGTTTACTGTTGTTAAGCCGACATGAAAGCATCTCTGTGTTGGCTGCTCCCCATTCCCAACATTTCAAGAGATTTGTGGCAAACATCAACACAAGCATAGGACGGGTGTTTTACAGGCAAACACACAGCAGAAACTCATGTGCTAATGAGCATCTTTTTTATGTTTAGTATTTTACTGTATATACATGTAAACGATGCTTATTTGCATGTATGGTTGAGTAGAGCTGCTCTATGATGGAAAACAGTAACTATCAATTTGGGTCAACTTTGAAATCCTCAAATATATAGTGTACTTAAATGCTGAAAAATAAAACGGTAAACTCAAAATATATATTTTGTTTTTAGAATATCAAAAATATTAATCTAAAAATGAATAAAAACTAATACGTAATTTGAGCAAACACATTTTATTTATATTTTTATGCGTCTACTTGAGGATCTTGCTGAGATATCTTGTAGAAAAACTTAATATTGGAAGATTTATTATATGAGGTATTGCTACCAGGTGGTATTAAGTCAAATGATGAATAAGAAAATATTTCCTGCTCATCTTCTGGGTAGAGCACTGGACAGTTATCAAATATCAGATCAGGGCTTAGAACAGGACCTGGTTCTATTTTTTTGTTTGTTTTGCAACACACAAAATAAGTCTGTGCGAGATTACAAATATTCTTGTCGCAATAACAAACTTTGATGGACAACAAATGGTCCCAGAAGTTATTGCGATAAACAATAATGTTGTCTTGAGACCATTTTCAATATATTGATGTCATAGTGATGAAGGAACATTTTCTCAAAGATCAATAAACTTTTAATTGCAATGAACAAATTTCTCAGTCATCAATGTCCCTGTGTGTTTTCGCCAGGAAATGGCAGTGCGGGCGCTGAAGCAGACTGGAAGCAGGAATATCGAAGCGGCCTTGGAGTACATCAGTAAAATGGGTTACCTTGACCCTCGCAACGAGCTCATTGTTCGGGTCATCAAGCAGACTTCACCAGGTACAAACACCACAACACTCCGTTTCTCTTCACTACATCTGGTGAAGTTGGCCCCACCAAACTTCTTCAAGTCAAACAGAACTGCTGTCCAACTTTGTTCTAGGCTTGTGCAGCAAAAATAGTTTAAGAAACCAGCTCTATTCCCATATTAACAGAATCAAACTAAATTGATGTAAGATAATTGTGCTGTGTTTGTGCAGCTACAATTTGTGTGACATAGTTTGACACTAATTTTATTTAATTTGAAGAAGATGCAGGCAGCCGACTTCACTTGGGTCTGTTGTATTAGCTGACACTGTTGATGCTGCTGCCGAACGGGATGTAATGAACGTTTCTCTTCCGTTGTAGGAAAAGCCGGCATGCCGAACGGGATGGACCACCGTCCCCCTTTAGAGGTTCCGGGTGAGGCGGGCGGCCTGCCTCCGTATCATCAGATGGGGGCTCAGATGTATGACGGGGCAGCAGGTTACGGCCCTGAGAGCGACCTCACCAGAGCCTACATGGGCGCTCCCCCCGTCATGAACTACATGATGCCCCCCTCGAGCGCAGCTCAGGGCCCCACTATGGGCAACCCGATGGGCCGGCCCCCCAGCATGGGCAGCTATCCTCCGGTGATGCCCACACAGAGCAACCCGAGCAGCGCCATGTACCCACAGGGCGCCCCGCAGAAGGCCTACCCCGGCGGCATGGAGCAGCACGGGCCCATGATGAGCTACGGCGTCGCTGGTCAGCAGCTGCAGCTCCAGCCGCAGCCACCAGGGGGACCCGGCCCGGGCCCGCACTACGACTACGCTCATGCCAGGCAACACCTGATGGAACCGGCCGGATACGGGGTCAAGCGGACCCCGTCCTTCCAGAACAAGATGCAGCCGCCCCCGATGGGACCTCCAGACAACTACGTCAACATGCAGGCGAAAGGGGGGATGTCTCAGAACGGGTCGGCGGGCGGAGGATACCCGGCCAACCTGTACCTGTCCTCTCACTCCCACCCCCGCCAGGCCAGCCCCACGTCCCACCAGGTCCACATGATGTCCCGGTCCCCCGGCGGCGTGCCACCCATGGGCCCCGAGTTCTCAGACCTGCCTCAGGGTATGATGACCCCCTCCAGAGCCAGCCTCAACCTGGACCTGTATGAGCACCACTGGGCCGGCCCCCCGGGTGCCGACGGGACCCCGGCAGCCAGGCAGCCCCAGTCCCAGGGCCCGTTTAGAGGGGAAGTGCGCGTTCCCAGCAGAACAAATTCCTTCAACAGCCGCTCCGCTGCTCCAAACGGCGTTAGACCGACCATGACTGCGCCCCCCCCTGCCGGGAAGCAGGACTCCTCCATGGGGCCTCCAAACACCATCACAGCTGTGACGTCCCCACCCATCCAACAGCCAGTCAAGAGCATCCGCGTGATGAGACCAGAGCCCAAAACGGCGGTGGGTCCGTGCCATCCCGGCTGGATGACGGCTCAGGCGCCGGACACGGCAGAACCCCTGCCCTACATGCCGGAGGAGTCCTACCCGCTAGAGCCCGCCCAGGAGCCGCGCTGCCCCCCTCCACCGTACCCAAAGAGCCTGCTCATACCCGCGGGGGAGCCAGGGGTTCTGGAAGGAGGCGGAGCCAGCGGGTCAGATCTCAGCATCGCCACCGCCAGAGGCGGCTGCAGCAGCAGCAGCGGGGGGAGCGGGAAGGCCGAGGACAGCCAGCAGGTCAAAGAGAAGACGAAGGCGGGCAAGGCAGAGAAAGCGGTGAAAGACAAGAAGCAGATCCAGACGTCACCCGTTCCCGTCAGAAAGAACGGACGGGACGAGGAGAAGAGAGAGTCGCGCATCAAAACCTACTCGCCTTTCGCCTTCAAGTTCTACATGGAGCAGCACATCGAGAACGTGATGAAGACCTACCAGCAGAAACTGAACCGGAGGCTGCAGCTGGAACAGGAGATGTCCAAGGTGAGAAGACACATCCTCACTACTCAACGACTGGTTTAGTTATCGATTTATTCTGATGGTTAAACCATTAATCAAAGATTTGTTGTGAGTTGTAAACAAAATGAATTGATTCAAACAAAAATTCACATTTTTCCTCATTTAACCACATAAGCCTTTTTATACAATAAAACACATACACTAAATGATGTGTCGTGAAAAAAATTACTTTAGCAAGAGACTGGATGAGAAGAAATAAGGAATGTATTAAAACCTTGCAAGGTGAGAACAGAAAGGAGTCCAAGTCTGCTCTGACCAACAGAGGATCTGGCTTCCTTTTGTTCTGGTCAGAGAAGAGAGACTTGATTGGATAATGAATCCCTGATTGTTATGCATCAGGGATTCTGTGGAGCCCAACACAGATGGTCTGGCCATTTGTCTATGGTTAAGGATAGGGGGGTTGTTCTTTCATGCTAAAGAGGGCAGATAAGTTCTGGGTTGGGGAAGTAACACTTAGTCTCCAGGATCAAGAAGCTCTCCTGCTGTTATACGGCACTGTAGAAGTCTATAGGAGAGCAGCTTGACCAATCTCATGATGAGATCATCAGACACAATCTAAAGCACACAAGGGGTGAGGAGCACATCGTAAAATGTTCCATTACAGATGCAAATAAACACATGAATTCCTTTTCTAAACAACAAAATAAACATTTTATTGCCTCAAATGTAGTAACACAGCATTCCCTGAATTGCTAAATTAAATCCTTCTAACATCAACATGTGAAAAGCTCAGCTTGACTTAACATCAACACAGTGCAGGACTGATCTGGGGATTTAGTTTTTGAATTAATCCAGTGTTTCTCAACTCTGGTCCTCAGGCCCCCCTGTCCTGCATGTTTTAGGTATTTCCCTTCTGCCACACACCTGAATTGTATCTCTGGGTGATTAACAGGCTTCTGCAGCACTTGATGGTCATGCAATAATTTGAATCAGCTGCTCTGGAATAGAGGCTCAGCTACAACATGCAGAGCAGGGGGCATAAGGACCACGGTTGAGAAACACTGGATTAACCAGTTATTCACAGGATAACAAAAGGTTCTTAATATGAGATTTTTTTTCTTAAGAATTTGATCCAGGTGAAGCTAAAACCACTTGAAGAGTTCTGGGTAGAACAGATTTACAGACAAAGGCTTAGTGACTGTTCTGAATATGTTGTTCTTTAGAGTCTTCAAACTCCAGATTGCTAAATGAGTTGACGGTTATTCCAATAATTCATCATGATTAATCCGTTTAATCGTGTCTGATCCACTTATAATGCTGTTACAGCGATAAATATTAAAAGTATTGATCAAAGCACGTGGATTGTCCCTCATAGTTTGGCTGAATCGTCATATTTCCGATTTGGACGTTCTCTCCCCAGGCTGGCCTGTCGGAAGCAGAGCAGGAGCAGATGAGGAAGATGCTGAACCAAAAGGAGTCCAACTACAACCGACTGCGCCGGGCCAAAATGGACAAGTCCATGTTCGTCAAAATCAAGACCCTCGGCATCGGCGCCTTCGGTGAAGTGTGCCTGACGCGGAAAGTTGACACCGGTGCACTTTATGCCATGAAAACGCTGCGCAAGAAAGATGTCCTCAACCGCAACCAGGTGACTCATGACTGGACCTGTGCTCCGTTCCACCAGTCTGACCCTACCGGCTCAGCTCACCGGTTTTAACTGGTTCCTGGTTGTTGTTTTTTTTTAGGTGGCCCATGTAAAAGCGGAGCGCGACATCCTGGCAGAAGCAGACAACGAGTGGGTGGTGCGCCTCTACTACTCCTTCCAGGACCGCGACAGCCTCTACTTCGTCATGGACTACATCCCTGGGGGAGACATGATGAGCCTCCTCATCCGGATGGGGGTGTTCCCCGAACTCCTGGCGCGCTTCTACATAGCCGAGCTGACGCTGGCCATCGAGAGCGTCCACAAGATGGGTTTCATCCACCGCGACATCAAGCCCGACAACATCCTCATCGACTTGGACGGCCACATCAAGCTGACGGACTTCGGCCTCTGCACGGGCTTCCGTTGGACGCACAACTCCAAATACTACCAGAAAGGTTGGGCACCTTTGTTTGAGATTGCTCTTCTTCTTCTATTTTTTTAAGTCATTTTTGTGCAAGTGTTAGTCAAATTAAACCTGACTGTATTTTATTTGCAGAGTTGGATGTATTGTTATAACCCCAAGGGTTTATTAAACTCTTTGATTTTGAGCACTTTAGATACCAAGTATACCAATAAAGTCTTGCTTTTTTCCTCCACTAGTCTATGCATTTATTTAATTCAGAAACTTATGTCTTTACAAATCTTCCTTCTCCAGGGAGTCACATCAGGCAGGACAGCATGGAGCCCAGCGACGCCTGGGACGACGTATCCAACTGTCGCTGTGGCGACCGGCTGATGACGCTGGAGCAGCGCGCCAACCGGCAGCACCAGCGCTGCCTGGCTCACTCATTGGTTGGAACGCCAAATTACATCGCCCCCGAGGTTCTGCTGCGCAAAGGTGGCCGACAACGTTCTGTTTGTTATTAATGAAGTGCATGTTTTATTTTGTTTTTGTTTGTTTTTACCGCCCCGTTTGTGTGCTTTTTGCAGGCTACACTCAGTTGTGTGACTGGTGGAGCGTGGGAGTGATTCTTTTTGAGATGTTGGTGGGACAACCACCTTTCCTTGCTCCGACACCTACCGAGACTCAGATTAAGGTCAGTGAGAAAGAAATTAATGCCGGGTATATTTTTTAACAATTTATACATTCAGTTTAGACAGAAACTGAAAACTCTGAATCTGTTCCAAATAGGGCTGTT